TTGATTCACAAATACAGAAATGACAGTGATTCTCCCCCAGCCCCTCTGTCTCCAAGTGCCTAGCACCTCACTGCATCCCCAGCCCAATGACGGTGATTCTTTAGAACAGGGATTTGCATCTGGAGCAGCTGGAAGTGCTAATTAAGAGGGCAGTTTACTGACTCTAGCACCTTAAGGTTCTGACTCTGTAGGTCCAAGCTGAGTTCCAGGCACCTGCTTTGAAGAGGCTTCTGGGTGATTCTGATGGCCTCTGGTTGAGAGCTGCTTTTGATGCATCTATTCAGCCTGCCTGCAGGACACAGAAGTCACCAAATGCCAGGCATCTTTTCTGTACCTTGAACCTGCCCTAGGAGAGCAGCCAGGACAGCCCCACCCTGCTCCACGTCCCGGGCCAGTGACACCCCTCCTGAAATCAGCCTCCTTTCTCCCTTAAGCCCTCGTCATCGCTGCTCTGCACCAAAGGATGGCAAACTTGGCAGGTGTCTGAGCGGAAGATCTGAGGATCAAGCCCGGTCCCAGCCAGGCCAGCCCTCCTTATACAGAGGGCAACCAGTTCACCCAGACAAGCAGGGAGAAGAGTGTCTGCCCACTCTTTCCAGTGCTCTCGCCATGACACCAGCCACAGCCAGATTCAATTTCTTGCCTTTGTTCTTTACTCTGATTTTCTTGACTGAGTCCCTTACAGTCCCCCAAGACACAGAAGAGGGTCATGAGTAATCAATCACAGGTTGAGGGTAAAACAGACCTGGTTTGAATCCTGACTCCCCGGCCACCTTGGCTTTGCAATTCTGGGGAAGTGGCTTGGCCTCTCTGAGCCTCCACTTTCTCCTTTGTTAAATGGAGCTGGTAATCCGTGGTTCTCCGCCTCTGGTGGTGGTTAACTGTTATCCCTGCTCTGAGCCTTACTCCCCTTGCCACCAGCTGGGGGGCATCCTGAAAGAAGTGGGGCTCTGCAGCCTTAAGGGCAGGACCTCTCCAGCCATCTGTGTCTCACAGGGTCAACACCTGCCGCCAGCTACGAGGAGGAGGAGCTGATCCCTGACCCCACGGAGGAGACGCTCACCATAGAAGCCCGATTCCAGCCTCTGCTCCCAGAGACCATGACCAAGAGCAAAGATGGGTTCCTAGGGGTGAGTCGGGACACTGGTGGCCCATGAGCAGGATGACAGACAGCAGGACCACCTGTGCGGGCTCCCTCCTGAGGGACTCTGTCCTTTCTTCTTCCTGTCAGCTCCCATTGTGCCAGGCCCCGAGGGTCCTGGAGTGTCATGTTGTCCTGGCACTCTGGTTGAGGAGTAGGAGTGAGAAGCGTGAGCCCCCACCCCAGGTGGGGGAGTCTGGGATGGCTCTCTGGGAGGAGTGACGCTGGGCAGAGGCGACCATGTGGGCAGGAGTGTTCACGGCCAGTGCAGAGGAGCCTTGGTGATGCAGCTGCCC